GATGGGGAACAGACAAGTTGCTGTCGTTTTGTTCTTCAGTCTAGTTGTGGAGGACGTTGCTTCACTGGCCCAAGTTGGCACCATTATTGCGCTCTTCCCAGGTGAGGCAGATCAGTCACCAACTTCTGGACGGCCACTCACGCTGGTTGCTGGCTGCTCACGCAGGCTGCTGGCTACACATGGTAGCCCATGGCAACCCACTGCAGCAGGAGTTGCAGCCTACGCTGTCGCCAGCGACCCAGCCCAGCTCCATGTTGAGCTGTTGTTCAGCATCTTAGCTGTAGAGGGCAGTGTCACTGGCCCTCATATGTGGGATCCAAACCAGGGCCCTCTGGCATCCCAAGTCAGCTCTTAACCAACGCACCACTCGGCCGGCCCAAATGACAAGTTTTCTATTTCTATGAATAGGAAACTAAGCAAACAAAAAAACCAAGACCATATTAACTCTGGGCCGGCCAAGCAGCTCAGTTGGTTAAGAGTGCAAGCTCTGAGCAACAGGGCTGCCAGTTTGATTTCCACACAGGCCAGTGAGCTGCACCCCGAGCTGAGCTGCTAACAGGTAGCGGGATGGCTCAGCTGGTGAGAGCACGTGCTCCTAACAACAAGGTTGCTGGTTCGACTCCCGCATGGGATGGTGGGCTATGCCTACCTGCAACTAAGATTGAACACAGCACCTTGAGCTGAGCAGCCGCGAGCTGCTGACCGGTGGCCGGATGGCGACTGGACTTGGAGCTGAGCTAGCTGTGCCCTCCACAAACTAAGATTGAAGAACAACAACTTGGCTGTTCCCCTTCCCCAATTCCCCAATAAAATCTTTAAAAAAAAGAGACCATATTAACTCTAAGGAAAGAGGTGTTCAGGAAAGAAATCATGACCTATTATGCAACTAGATTCTATATAGTATTTACAGATTCATAATTATGTAAAGACTGAATACTGACATAACCAAAGTTACAATACAACTCGACCAGATAGTTGGTTGCTCCCATGGGAAAGTCAAAAGTGAACAGTGACGGTAAGGAGAGGAAAGAGAGCCAAATCCTCATCTTCCACAGTAGGACATCGATAGGTAATGCCTCAAAATGAAAAATCAAGACATAGGAAAACGAGTACGTTACTTACAGACAAAAGGGTATAATAACAAATATATCAGCTAAAATAAATGAAAGTGGGAAGGGGCTAAGGACTACTGTTTTACTGTAACAAACTTTGCAGAACAAGAGGACTTTTAAAACTGTGTGCATGTATAACTGTGATGAAAATAAAAATGTAAAAAGTTCCTCTCATAACATTAAGTGAAGAAACCAAAGGTGAAGAATGGTGTGTAAAGTATGTATAATCTGTATAAAAAACTAGTAAAGTGGGGAGAGAATATATGCACATTTATTTAAAAATGCAAAAGTCTAATAGCTTNTTTAAAAAAAAAAAAAGTAACTACTTGGTTTTCAGAGCTTCTCCCATGTCTGCTATTTCTTAAAACTAACTATCCTAAAATAATTCTTATGCCAAATAGATATATTTTTGGGTGACAAATTCTGTTCCCCTACAGCTCTTGGCTATAAACCTGTACAGCCTGTTACTGTACTGAAAACGTTAAGCAAATGTAACACAGTGGTAAATATTTGTGTGACACACTAGGCAATAGGAATCTTTCAGCTCCATTATAATCTTACCTGCTGTCAATCATTATGTGGCACATGATTGCAATATTTTGTTCATTAACTCCTTAAAACCAATTTAGTCTGAACTAGTTATATAATTAAGACACTTGCTATGGTCAGGAAAATAAATAGAGTGAAAAAGTTACTGAAACAGAATCGGAGCATCTGTTTGATTTCCAGTTTTCAGGCTATTCATCCTTAGGCAAGTTATTTCCCCTCTTTAGGCCTCAGTTTTCTCAACTATTTAAATAAAAGGAATTAGGCTAAAATATCTCTCTGGTTCATTGAAGTTCTAGGAATCTGTACAGTAAAACATAATTAACTTGTCTAACTCTTTTCTTTCAACCTCCAAACAGCTAAATGGGGGTGACCGCTGAGACTCACTATCACATCTATGTGGTACCCTCATCTGGGGTACCACATACTCCAGAGCCCCTGGGATAGACATAAGGCAGGAGTCACATTCAGCCAGGTCCAGTATGAGATTTTACTATAGAGTCTATATCTTGAGTATATAAAAAGGAGCTGAATTATTTTATGACCTATTACTAATAGAAGCACCAAGATAATAACAGCAGCAATAGCCGCCCTAATGTATATTTATCTAGGCTAGACCTATAATCTTAACCCTGGCTGTATATTAGAATCATTTGGATAGTTTTTTTAAAAAGCTCCAAGACAAGCTAATATCAAATGAATCAGAATCTGCAGTGATGAGGCTAATTTCTTAAGGCTCCCCAAGTAATTCTGATACACAGTGAAAATCAAGAACCTCTAATCCAAGAAATGTAAAGCAAATGACCAAAGGTCTGTATATCACACGCTGGTTGTATAATCAAACATCAAGAAATAAGAATAATCCAGTGTTACTATTTAATGACATTCTCAATTACACATAGAGAATTGTGTTTCTAGAGAAAAAGGAGAGCTCTATAACAGCCCCTTGTTCCCACTACAACTCTTTATTGAGGACTGGCCCGGCCAGAAATAGAATATAACTTCCTAACATGATGAAGTAGTTCAAAGAAAGATTACTACAAATTTGCCCACCTCTGCAAAAGTCCTATCAGTCATCAAGATAGTTACACTTATGGTAGTCAAAGTAGTACAGACACTGAAATTCCTCAACCTAACTCTCACTCTCAGTCTCAGTAAAAGACCTAGTATGTAAAACAAGCCAGAAAAAGTTGAGAGGATCATTTAGGAAAATAAACTTTCAAAACCTCCACTCCAGACAAAATACATTATTTTCCACTTCCTCATCAAAGCTTCAAGACCCGTGACAAAGGAAAAGGTGAAGCAATCATGGCTAAAATTATTCTTGCACTTTTCAGAACAAAATCAGTGAAATCAACAGGACAGATTAAATAAGTAACACATTAAACTTCTCTCTTTTACCTCACATGTAAGGCCAAGCCATCCTGTAGGCTGGAGATTCCCAAATCAGACAGTGTATCTGAGCTGACAGAAGCTGGTGACAGAGAGCCCTCCTTCTCCTCCAATAAGTCTAGCTTCACCAGGTTGCTGATCTCGTCCTCTGAGTTATCTTCAGACACAGAACCAATTATGAATCGGGAGTGCTGATTCAGTTCCAGAGGTTTGGCCAAGGAGGACGGTTCATCCATTATTCCTTCAAAATGAGCTCTTAAAGCTATGAAGAAAATGAAAAGTGAGAAAAGGCAGGTTATGAATAATAACTTATGTGTGAGAATAGCCACAGGTTATACCTAATATGCCACAGCTTGCACTTGGAAGCAAGACAGAGTTTGAGGATTACTGGGTCGTTGGAAAAGTCATGACACATTTTTGCATTGAAAAACATAGAAAAATACATCATGACTTTCCCGACGACCCAATAATTTCCTTGGCTATTTTATTTCAGGGCCTTTGTTTTCTACAAGGGAGGAAAATCCATTCATGGTAACTCTGCCTAAAAAATTAAAATCAATTCCCTTTTCCTGAAAGAAATCTCTCTCAAAAACTTGGAAGCCATTCCCAACCTTTTTATCAATTTGGTGATGTCCAAGAGATAATTATGATCAACGGAGAAACTTTCCAGTAGGTGAAAGCTGCTTATTTTGATATTATAATTTCGGTTGTTAGTACCAGGGACAGTGCAGGCTTAACTGTATGGGAAGAGTGTTGTTTGTTTGAAAACTGGTGTTTAGAGGAAACTACATAACTATCATCTTGTTTCAAACACTACGCTGTGAGAGGCTATCAATTTTATATAAGTGCATTTATGTATAAATACATACATAAAATGTTTATATATGTAAATATATACACACACTATATAGTGGGTATACTATATGTATATATGTGCATATATACATGTACACACACACACACACACACACACACACACACACACACACACACAGTTTACTTAAAGCAAACTCCAGATAGATATTTTCTAATTTCAAAAAAATCTTTACTTATCTCATGAATTTTTTCTTAAATTACATCTGTCAAAAATTCCTCCCAAAATGTCTACTTTTGGCTCTCACGTACTGACATTGGCAGAGAGGAAGTGAATCTACTATCAAATTAAGACCTATAATTAAAATAATGTAGGTGTCATCTCAATTAAGTACAAGTCTTCCAGATATGAATTAGATATTGCCAATCACTAGCAAACTAATTAATGAAGAACCAAAACATAGTTCAAAGCCTATAACAATAAAAGCTAAAAGTAAATGAAACAACATTGTCATTCCAAAAATCTTATTAAAAAAACTTCAAAACTACATATCAACTTGGTATTAAACAGCTTGTAGCCCAACTAACAATATTAATTCAGACAGTAATTATTCCCAATTCTGATTCTGAGGTGCTGTAAGAGACAGTATATCAATAGATAATAAATTTATTTTTAATAAATTTTATATGCTGGAAATCACTTTGACGCATAAAAGTAGGTGAGAGAGCAGTGTTTTTTGACATGAAAACAAAACATCAAGGTTTAAAAATGTTTAGAAATCACCACTAAACATGTTAAAATTATACAAGTACCATTATTTCTATGTAATTTGTGAATCAGAGCTTATTCATTTATAGAGACAAAACAGTATTTGTAATGCTAGAACAGTGGTTCTCAAAGTGTGGTTCCCAGACCAGGAGCAGCATAACCTGGAAACCTGTTAAAAGTACATATTCTTGGGCCCTACCACAGATAAACTAACTGCATCAGAAACTACAGGTTAGAGCCCAGTAACCTATAGTTTAACAGGCTCTAAAGTTTGAGAATCACTGTGCTAGAAGAATAAAATAGTAGTGACAAATTGTCAGGAATGCTAAAAAATACCTGTAGACATTTCCTAAAAGCGAGTTGGACATTACTTATGCAAACTTTTATTTTAAACTAGAATCAAATATAAAAAGTATCATGCAATAGAAAAAACTTGACATCTAAACTTACTATATGTTTCTCCCTCAGAATAATAGATTTCTTTACACAAAATCATTTTATATGTCTCCAAATTTTATAAAGAGGCTCCTTTCCAGAACCTTAAAAGAAAACCATATCATTTAAAAAGAGAAAAAAAGGAAGGAAGGAAAAAAGGGCGAGAAGAAGGCGGGGGGTGGGAAGTTCTAACAGATTGACCATTCTGAATGCCAGGAGGTACAGCAGCAAAAAGGCCACTTCTTTCATATTTTAGAGACGTGAATAATCAAGCTTAAAAATAATACATTAAAAAAAAATTCCATTTCCACTAACACAGAAAACAACAGCTGCCTTCTTCACAAGAGAAATCGGTAAGGTTCTCAGGGGCAGATTCTGGCTTATAGTCTGACTGAAATTAGGTGACTACACTAAAAAATAAAATTCATGTGAAAGGAGTGTTTCTCTGATTGTATGGAAGAAGAAAAAGCAAGCATTAACTAGTAAATGAAAGGCCCCAAAAGGTCAACTTCAAATTTTTCTATCCTAGCTAAGAAGAACATGAAGGCAGCCTTCCCTAAAGGGTTGCAAAGATTGGAAGCAGCTTAGTGTCAGCAGCTAAAGAGTCTGTTCACCAACCAGCAACTCTACTGAATGGTATTTCCAGGCACAAGCCTGCAAGCCACAAGAAAAGAGAGGTCATGTATGGAAAATCACTGAATAGCTGTCTAGACACTCTAGAAGCTACTTCACAGCTCGTCCCACTTCCATTGATTCTAGCTTTGAATGAATGAGAAACGGTGGTGGAATACTACCACTGTCAGACTTGTTCACCCAAATGATTCCCCCTAAATCTACCTATATTCTTTTGTGGAAGGCAACTTTGAACATAAAAGCCTACAGTTTAATATTTTAGCACATGAACATAAAATTTTTACCACTGAAAACATAAAGGAGCATTATTTGTAACTGACCTCTTATAATTCTTACTGTCTGAGCAGATATCCAATTCCAAAAAGAACTAAAGAGAAAAAGAGAGAGATTTGAAGTGTGTTTTTTTTTAAAGAAACCCCAATTTTATCAATAACTGTTTTGTTCAGCATAATACAAAACTAATAATACCCATAAAGTATCATTTTTCTGGTCAAATCTATTATTTAGAAGTATAAAAGTTCAGTTTATTATTTGTTCAAATCTGTAAATCAAAAGCATTACATATTCAAAGACTTTATTATTCATGAAAGTATTAAACAATAATCCAAGCTTACTATTTCACAATGTGCCTTTTCCAATTGTATACTTGGATGAACACATTCCAACCCTATGATTTCCAATATTTCATCAAAAAGGAGGCAGCGTGGAGAAGAGAACCACTAGGTTCTCTACAATTCAGTTAGGCTCTGATTATGTTTCCAAAAGGTTATAGCCACCCACAAAGCCAGGGAGAGGACAAATCTCCCATTCGATTAAGTCCCTGAACTCTAAGGGACCAAGGAGTCTAGCTACTTCCCAAATTCTGGGCTTCCTTGTGGGCCCAACAATTTAAATGTATCCAGGGTAAAAATCCTCAACTTTGACTAGTATGCACACGTATAACAATCACCTGTGGAGCTTCTTAAACTCTATCCCAGATCTACCAAATCAGAATCACTGCTGAAAACCCAGAGATCTGAATATTAAATTCCACAGCTGACTGACACAGTTCCTCTGGTCTGAGGTGGAGAAGAAAACAGAAAAAAGTAACACAGATAAGGAAATTCAGAACTTCTAAGAGAGGACCCTGAATGACAAGTGACAGGATTGAGGACAGTGCAAGTACATTAGTTGGGGAATTAGGATTTACCCAATTATGTAGTCTGAGCTAGTATTATTCCCTACAATCGTGGTAGGGAAGGGGATGAGAAAAGGAGGGAAAAAAGTTAAGTACAGCTGACCTTTTATCGACACAGGTTTGAACTGCTAGGGTCGACTTATATGCAGATATTTTCAATGAACACTGTAAATGTATTTTCTCTTCCCCATAATTTTCTTAATAACATTCCTTCTCTAGCTTAATTTACTGTAAGAATATAGTATATAATACATATAACAATCAAAATAAGTGTTAATTGACTGTGTCATTGGTAAGGCTTCTGGTCAACACTAGGCTATTAGTTAAGTTTTGGGGAAGTCAAAAGTTATACATGAATTTTCAACTGCAAACAGTGGGGTGGGGGTTGGCTCTCCAAACTCTACACTGTTCAAGGGTCAACTGTAATTTGGATCAGATGTAACCAAAGGTGCAGTGGAGCTGGAGTCAAAGCCTAGAATCAAGTTCAAACTCTGGCTCTGCCAAGTATTGGTAGTGCAAACTTGAAAAAGGCTCTATCCTCCTTATCTGTAAAGACAAAAAGAAGGTCATGTGTGCCTCATGAAACTGCTGGAGGTCCAAGAGTATATGAAAGTGTTTTGTAAACTATGATGCACTAGATCAGTGTTTTTCAAACTATGGGTTAACACCAAACAGAATGGTAAGAAATCAATTTAGGGGTTCCAACCAACATTTTAAAAATGAAATAGAATAGCGAATGTTAGGGGTGCACCATACTTTGTAAGGATAAATGTTGTTTTGTAAATTTTTTTAACAGTGATTGATATACATACATACATATATATATATATATATATATATATATGTATGTATGTATGACATCAACATCTTATTGTGAGTCGTGTCAAAAGTCTTAAAGCCACCATTAAGCCTTACTCTTCTGGCCCCTCTTAAGTCCTCACCAGAGACCAAGCACAGTGAGTTAAGTGCCTAAACCAATGGTTCTTAAAACTTTCTTAGGTCAAGACACTTAGAAATTTGATAAAAGCTATGGATCCTTTCCTGGCAAAAATTCACCCTCATACAAAATTTTGTTTGCATACAAGTTTGGGAACCCTAAAGTCTTGCCATGAATTAGTTAAGACCTCTCTGGAGTTGATCTCCGCAGACGGCCCATATAGCTGCTGTCTTGTTAACTCCAAAACTAGGCTTTTCCCCAGATATAATTGTAGGATATTCTGCTTATCCAAATAAAATTTTCATGATATCAAGTTTGCAGCAATGTCAAATTGATTTTTAAAATATATATGTTCTTGAACTTTTACTTGAGGACTCCTGAAAATATTTGCAGAAGGTTCCCAAACTGTACTCAATGTTCCTGAAAATGGGGTAAAAGCTAATTATAGCTAGTGCACTTAAAAGTCAGCATGCATTTCATTCAGAGATATTTCTCTAAATAAAACTGGTTTTACCAACATGTTCTCCTTAAACTCAAATGACACTGTATTTTCCAAGCAATTCTAATAAAAGGCAGTAATTAGTTTTCATAGCCACTGAAAAAAAAGTTCTAAGCTAACACAACACATCCTTGTCTTTTAAGCCATAGTAACATTAACATTTTTTCAAAAAGAATTATTAAATTTTTCATTTTTGTCATTTTATTGATGAACTTTTAGATGGCTTCTGGTATTCAGTATCCATGAGAGAGGTTTTTTGGGTTTTTTTTTTAAAGATTTTTATTGGGGAATTGGAGGATGGGAATAGCGCTAGGGAATTGGGGGAAGGGGAACAGACAAGTTGCTGTCCTTTTGTTCTTCAGTCTAGTTGTGGAGGACGTTGCTTCACTGGCCCAAGTTGGCACCATCATT